GGAAAGCCTAAGAAGCCTAACTTTTCATAATAATGCTACTTCAAAAGCTATAGTCTTTTTGGCACATAGTGGTACTTCATGTCTTTCCAATATTATTCAAGGGAAGACCTTACTAGTATGGCCTTTTACTGCTTTATTGTGATTCCTTACCATTGAAATTTGGGTGGCATCAGGCTTCCAACCTAGTGACTAATGTTACAGCCAAACTCCTTACATAGATTTTGCTTTCTTTCTATGTTATGTTGAAATTATTTCTTCTTAACCTTCATTTTCTAAAATAGATATGTCTCAAAGGTTTTTCTGCATCATTTGTGTTAATAACCTGAAGAAACGTTTTCCTGCAGTCAAATTTTGCAACTCTCGATGAGAAAACTGGAATAGTCACCAGTAGGAGAGCTGACAGGCACTTTGAAGAAGAAGGCCCCATACTTTGTGCTGCCCTGGATGGAATGAAGCTGCCATCTTTCCCTCAATATGAAGTCAGAGTCAGGTGAAGATGCCTAAGGTTGCTATAACATTTAAGGGTTAATTGTTAAGATTGTAGGCGACCACTTATTATGGGTAATATTGAGTTTTGAATATTGTCAGTCTCCTTTTTTATGTTAAGATAATTTTGAGAACATTGTCTTCTTAAATTTTAATATTGATAAATCTCTATGTTAGTCACCGCATAAATTTTGGAGGATCTTGGATGGTTGGGCCCTCAAGTAAAATTGATTACTAGATGTCTACAAGTTCAGGAACTTAACATTAATGCACAGTAAAATTAACAGTTTCTTTATATGTTTTTGCAATCCTTTTCATAGGTATGCAACAGAACATAGATGTGGAGTGGTTGTTAAAGGACCAAATTTGAGTGGAAATATATCAGGAACAGACCCTTTAAAGGACAACCGGTTACTTTTGAAAGCAGAAGCTTTAGATGATTCTCATGAAGCAAGGAACACTGCTGCTGTTGTTAATGAGTTGTCCAAGGAAATAACAAAAATTCTGGTTTCGCATCCTGTGAATGCTAAACGTGTTGCAGAAGGGAAGAACATAGCAAATGTAGTCCTTCTACGAGGTTGTGGCATTCGAATTGAGGTCTGTTCTTTCAGTTTATATTATAATTTACGCATCTATCTTTCAAACATTAAAGTGACACTTAAGAAAACCAAACTTTGATACTTCATAATCCATTTACCTGTTTTGCTGCTTAAAAGGAAAGAACATCAAATGTGTAGCAATTATTTAAGAACAATTAGAAATAAAATAACAATATTAATTTGCATGTTCTGCAGGCTATAAATACTTGGACAAAAAATTAAATGCTAGTTGGTGTTCAGTTATATCCTTTGTCTGAGCCAATAAATGTTATAAATGATAATGTGTGTCCATGTACTAGTAATATGCATTTATCACTTTTATATTGTATATTACAGGTTACGCCTTTTATAAATAAACATGGTTTGTGGTCATGCATGGTAGCTCCAACAAAAATAATTGCTGGCCTGGGCTTATCACTTGGTATTGATATTCTAGAAGCTCCTGGTGCTACTGGAGACTATCGAACCTTACTAACTTCAAAAGCATCAGCAATAGCTAAGGCACTCTCAGCTCCTTTGCAGTCTAGTCCCAGAGTTTTTGTACCTGGAGAGGATGAGCATAAAGCAGGACGGTCAGATGGCTATGACTTTGGATTTCTTCATATTAAGGTCAAAATTTTATGAGTTCTGGTTATAAATCTTCCATCTTTTACTTAGAATGACACTCTTTTGTTTCTCCTTATTAGCCTGCTCTAAGCTATCTATATATATATATATTTCTAGATTATTGGATTATTTAATGGTGATGAGACCGTATATGATGTTGCAGGCAATAGATGATGCAGGCCATGACAAGGCAAGCATTCTCAAAGTCAAAGCATTAGAAGCTGTAGATACTGCTGTAGGACAGTTGGCAAGGCTTCTCTGGGAAGCTGAATCAACTGGAAATTTTCAGTTTTTCCTTTGTGTGACAGGAGATCACTCTACTCCAGTTGAATATGGAGATCATAGCTTCGAACCAGTTCCATTTGCTATGTGTCGGTTGAAAGACTTTGTTGGTTCAATTGGTGAATCCATTATTTCCACAACTTCACTTGAACCATTTCCTATTCCAAGTGTTATGCATGGTGAAGACTTAACTGTTGATTTGGATACAGAAGAGAGAAGAGACAAATGTTCTCAATCTTATAGTGGTGATTCAGTTTATGAGTTAAATGAATTGGCAGCTGCAAAGGGATGTCTGGGGCGTTTCCCTGGAGGAGAGATGATGGGAATTATAAAGAACATCCTTAACATAGATGCAGCATTTGCTTAACCAACAAGTTAGGAGTGTTATGGCAGTTCATATTTCTCTCAGAATTCCAAGTTAAGACTTTTCCCTCTTCTACTCTGAAAAAACAAGTGATTTCAGGGCACAAAGTCAAATTTTGAACTTGTGTAGAATAAGAAGTCATTTTCTAAAATTAACAGTGTAAACTCAGGATAAATAGACCTATCTCTGTTGCATTGTTTTAAAATTTCCCATGTCATCAATTCGGTCGAGGTACTGGATTATTAGGTCAGTGATTCAATCGGGTTTAATTTATAATAAATATTAAATTATAAACATTATGTCTAACAAATAAAAATGGTCCAGTGGTAAGCCTTTCGATCTTAAAATAAGGGAACTTAAGTAAAATATATATATTTTACATAATTTAACATAAAATCGGTTGAACCCGATTTTGGTACCGGTTTAACACCGGTTGAATAGCGGGTCATGACCGGTTCATCAGGTTGATTCCGGTTTGACTACATGACTGATTCAATGTCTAGTTTGAATCAGTAAAGGCATTGGGTCACCAAAATCTGGGTTGACCTGATCGATCTGAGCCGAGTTCTAAAACATTGTTGTTTTATTTCTCTTTCTTTTCTTTGTTTAATTTTTTTATTATGAACCAGGTTTCATTCAAATAGTTTAACCAAGTTGGTAGGGTTATTTTCCAAATTCGAATTAGTGATTTTCCGGTTACAACAAGGAGCCTTGGTGCTACTTGATTCAATCTGGTTGTCCTTCTGCAAAACATGTTGACAACATGCTTAATCTATATGTCACATTAAAAATTAACGCTAATAATGTAACCCTTCAGAGTAGGCAACATTTAGCATCCAGATAGAATAGAATAAAATAATGGGATTTATGAATATTATGTTACATGATGAAGCTTACATCATGCTACACTCACAATGCAAGTGAGCCCCACAAGTTTTTTTCAAAAAACAAAAAATAAGAAAATGGTGGAGCCCACTTGCATTGTGAGTGTAACATGATATAAGCTTCATCATGTAACATAATATTCATAAATCCCTAAAATAATATGCAATGGTTTTGTTATGTCCAATTTTTCTTGATTTCGTTCATTTTACTAGAATCAAAATATATCACCTTTTCATTTTATGTTCAATTTTATTTTTATTTTTAAAATGCACTGAGTATATTACGAAATTTATATGTTATACTCCGTCCCATTCTAACAAATCTACCAAATGTTATTTTAATTTTCTTGTTATTAAATGTAGGCACACTTATATGGGTTGTAATATGGTAACGAATTAATTATTTTTTTTATGTATAATATAATGGTATTAAAATTTTAATTTAGAATTTTATGCAAATTATCTAAATCCCTTCTCAGTATTTCACTGCTAGTGGCTTAGAAACATATTGTCTTGTTAAATTGAGTTTTGGATGAAATTCCCACCTAGTTTGATTATTGAGTTTTTTTTTTTTTTTTTGTAAATGATTATTGAGTTTTTAGGCTTGAAGTGAATCCTCTAATCAAATCATATTATCATAAATTGTCATCATCTTCCTTGATTAATACTCCTGTAAACGTTTATATATATAAAAAAAAGGGTTTGATTTTCTCATGTTGCATAAGAATTCAATTCTCATGTTGTGACTCAATTAGTGATGGGTCCCACATTTATTAAAAAAAGAAAAAGAAAAGAAGAGCTTTGCACACAAATCGAAAGGTCACAACATGAGAATTGAATTCTCATGCAACATGAGAAAATGTTTTCCCATAAAAAAATACTCTGCAAATATTAATAGCCTTTCTTTGGCAGCATTCAACTCTAGCATAGAAGCATGTGCAACTCCATTTAATTTGGAGATCTTCTAGCCATGAATCAGTGACCAAAAATCATTAATCTTATAGATATAAATGTTCACCAAAGGTCTCATCTATGTTGATCTTTGTATGGAATCTTTTCATTTTCATTTTTTAAAATTTTGTGTGACTTGTGGACCAAATTTTATTTAAAAAATATTAATTAAAATAACATTTTTTTTTTACGATTGAGAAGAATAGTTAAAGGCAAACAAACAGAGCTATGAGTTAAAAACATATACGTTATCTACCCAAAAAAAGAAAAAGAAAAAAACATTTACGTTGCATTGATTGCAATGTTTTGTTACAAAGAGGAGGCACTCTTTAGTATCCTTTAAGTTCTCCTACTATTTTATTTATCATCTTTTAAAAATATCAAATGCTTTCTTTTTTTACATGATTGGGTAGCAAAAATAGTAAAATTAGATGGGCATACAATAAAAATTGGAAGAAAAACCATTATTATGTCACAATTTATTTAACCTATAGTCTACAACAATGATACATTAATAATTACATACAAAATTAAATTTTTGTTTCTTAGAGGCATCCATTTAAGATAAACTCGTTTTAAGGAAAATTCTAACTTTTTTTTTTTTGTGTGTGTGGCTATTTTAAGTTTTTAACAATTTTTTCCTTATTAATTTGGTTGATATATACCAACGGAACATTTGAGATGACATAGATACATGATCAATTTACCTATCACGTGACCTAATTTGAAATGAGAGACAGAGCACGTGCCACACCCATTTTCATTTCATTTGATTTTTGATTTGAAACCGAAACACAAAAATCAAAACATCTCTGTCTCTCTCTCTTCTTTCTTTCTCTTTCCTTCGCTTTCTTTCTAATTTTCTCTCTGAATCGAAGTGGAAACCAACCACTGTTCGCCATGGAAGCGATACTGGTGGATTGTGTGAACAAGAGTCTTCGCCTTTTCATGCAATCCAACGCCATCTTCCTCTGCGAGCGTCTCTGCGCTGAGTTCCCCACTGAGGTCCCTTTTTCCGTTTTCGATTTCTTAATATTCCTCTTATTTCCCTTTCCCTCTCTTTTTTTTGGCTTCCTTTGAAGCTTCGAGAAAAGAGAAATGGAAATGGAAATGGAAAATTCACTGCTTTCATTATAAGCTCCGCAATGTTCATTGTCTCTTAGCGAGCTGCGTTTACTTTTGCATCGAGATCGATGGTTCTGGGTATCACCCAGCTATTTGATTTAAGTCAATTTCGTAGCTTCTGTAGTGGTAGTTGATTTTTTTTGAGGATTTGGATTCAATTTCTTCTTTTAGCTTCGTGTTCTCTCTGGATTGTACAAATTTTGTTTTGCTTCTTCACAGTACTCCAATATGATTAAATTGGATTCGTATTGTTAATTTGATTAATGAAGTTTCTCTGGTTCTTCGTTAGTTTCATGAAAGTAGTGAATCGATGTATGACAATTTTCCCTCTTTCAAGGTTTTAAGTTGTCTGTGTGCACAGTGAAGTAATAGTGAATGGGGTTTCTTTTTGTGCGAGGACTATCTGCTACATGTAGCCAGTTCTAGAGATTTTGGCATAATTCGATAGTTATTTGGCTGTCCATATGTGAAGCTGTTTTTGCAAAGTTTTTAGCTTTAGGATTAGAGGATATTTTGTGCTGCCCGTATATAGAGACTATTGCTGCTGCCCGTATATAGAGACTATTGCTGCCTAAGACAGAACCCTAACTACTTGTACCTTAAATTTAATTCACAACGAGTCTGAAATATCAGTTAAATAGGAAATGTCAATACAAAGTTTAGACTTGGCTCTTGTAATGTGTTACACACTTACTCCACATGCCGGTATGAAGTTTAGACTTTGTTCTTCTAATGAAGTATAGATGTTGGCCTGGTCTTCTTGAGTTGACATGTTTTCTTCTTATTTGTTGTGCCTGAGATACTGTATTGGGAGTTTGGGATGTCCGGCGTGCCTTACCAATAGTTTTTCATCTTTATAACTTAAATTGTTACTTCTTGTTCATGAGTGGTCCTTTCTTTAGCTTTATTTTCTGCGTCACTGGCAGAAGGATATCTTTACTCTCTTCATGGTAGTGTTTGATAAATATTTTTGAATATACTATACAGACAAATCTCCAGTTGTTGGCTGGCTGTTACTTGCAGAGTAATCAAGCTTATTCTGCATACCATATCTTAAAGGGTAAATTTCTTGCATTATTTATGTACCATACCATCCAGTTTTTGAGTTCCTATTACTGTTAGTTTTAAATATCATCATTCTTATTCTGTTTCCTGAATTTCCTTTCTTATAATGTTTTCTTTCCTTGTTTGCTATTATCTCATAACAGTGATTCTCATTATATCTCTCTTGTTATTCATTTTGTCTTTATTTCTTGAAGGAACACACATGGCTCAATCCCGGTACTTGTTTGCAATTTCATGCTTTCGGATGGATCTTCTTAGTGAAGCTGAAGCAGCATTATGTCCTGCTAATGAGCCCAGTGCAGAGGTACAAATCATAATTTGGAATGTATTTGATTTTCAAACTATTTTCATTAAATTTATAAAAGTCTCTAGATGACCTTAGCATTTTTTCCTCATAAACTAATTGGTTTTTTTTTAATCTTTCTTTTTCCTGTTTTATTCATAGTTTTAGCTATTGTTAACTGCATTATTCATATATAACGTGATTCTAACATGCTCTCTGATTTAAGTTATTTTTTATTATAATTTGTTGGTGCATTTGCTAAGAGAAGTTAAATGACTACTTTTGTTTTATTGCTTTTCTTATATGTAGGTTCCAAATGGTGCAGCTGGTCATTATCTATTAGGGCTCATTTACAGGTTGCTAATCAGTCTTACCATCAATTGTCAATTGGTTTTTCTGTAATCTGCTTTTAGTATTTTGTGAAAGGAAATGATCTGATCCTCACTAAATCAGATCATATGCATACATACACATTTAACATCAAAGCAGATGTATATTCCCATTCTTACCTCTTTGTGGCATATACGAAAACTTTTGAATCTCAAAAAGATAAAAAGAGTGATAATCATTTGATGATCCTAAAAAATATTAACTAGATGCTATGAAGTATGAAGTGTCTACCTTAAAGTTCATCATATACTTAATTATTTCACTGCATAAGGAGAACTCTTGATGACACTCTTAAGTAAGGTTTGATTTAAACCCTTGAATTTTGCAACCACTTCTATAGCATCTATTTTAGCTAAGTAAAACACTGGTATTCTTATTGATGTTCAAGTTCTTCAAAGTTTGACATTAAAGGTCAACATGATAGATAGTTATGATTCAACAATTGGATTGATAAAAGTTACATGCTATAAAAAAGATATTGGTTGATGTAAGTGTTTCAAGTTTTACACTGGAGTCAATTTCATATATATGTATATATATATATATATATATATATATACATATATATATAGGAAAAACATTTCTCCAGCCACCCCCTTATAACTATGTACTCCGGGGAGTATATAGTTATAATATTAAAGTTGTTTTTTTTTCTCTCTCTCCACGTCAGCCGACAAGTTTCTGGAAAGAAAAAAAATGCAACTTTAATAATATAACTATGTACTTCCCGGAGTACATAGTTATAAGGGGTGGCTGGAGATAAGCTTATCTCAAGTGGCTGGAGAAATATTTTTTCATATATATATATATATATATTAGAATGTTAATAGAAAATCATTCATGTGTTTTCACATAGTAGCTTAAGCTTTTGAGAGTGTTGGTTCATGACAAGATATATGTATGTATGTATAATTAAATAACTTTTTATTGTATGACTTTCACGCAAAATCCACTGTTGGGTTGAATATAAGTATACAAAGTTTGATAATTTCATCCATATTCTCTTTAATTATTATTCTCTTTTTCAGATACACTGACAGAAGGAAAAGTGCTATACATCATTTTAAGCAGGCACTATCAATGGATCCTCTAATGTGGGCTGCATATGAGGAGTTGTGCATATTAGGTCTGTAAGATGATATTCACCTGATTTATGGTGTTCCCCATTTGATGAACTGATTGGAGAAACCTAGTTGTTTAGTTTTAGGGGCTGCCTTTTAAGCTGTGAAGTTATGTGGTTCTCATTTTGAAAAATTCTTTTTTTATATTTGATTAGATTAGTAGCTTTAAGCAAAGAAGATATGTTAAAACTTATATGATGGGATAAATTATATCTATAATTCATTGAGGTGAAGAGAAGAAAATTACGAGGAATTTTGAGGATAAAGAATCCTCCTTTACCAGAAGGAAAACAGTAAGGACAATGAAAAGTAAAAGTTTTAGATGGAGCTAGTCCCTCAGTGTAATATTTTCTAGGGAAATCCCTTTAAATAGACCATATATATGTTATGAGAATAATGAACTTATCATCTAAGCATTTTGTTTTTGTGACTAAGCATAAGGTGTAGGTTTATTGTGGTTTGACCATAACTGGTGATGGATTATGTTGAGAGAGAGAGAGAGAGAAAAGAGAGGCATGTGCTGAAATCCGACTTTCAAAACTGCACATCGGAGTCTGGATTATATAGCTAAAAAATAGTAATTACAGATACCACTGCTATCCTTATTGGTATAATTACTAGATTTTGATCAGTCTATACAGTGAACCTAGACATTATGTACATGGCTTCCTGCATTATGTTATTGTCATCATCATTATCACTATACCGTTTTCTGAATATTTAGGTGCTGCTGAAGAAGCAACTGCAGTTTTTGGTGAAGCAGCTGCTCTTTCCATACAAAAGCAATACCTAAATTGTTCAACATCTCCGAGGTTGCATTCATCGGTTGAGGATTGTAATGTAGTTGACACTAGACACTGTGTCTCAGAAGATATGAGTCCAAGGCAACTGAAACTCTTGCAAGGCCTAAAGGATATTCCTGGAAATCATCATGGAGCATCTATATTAGGAGGAACTGCTGGTCAACCTATTTATAGTGGTCTGTCTAACATATCATTTTATAACACCCCATCTCCAATGGCAACACAGGTAATTGCATCTAAGTTCATATCGCGTGTACATAATAATCTTTAAAAATCGTGGATAAGCCAAACTAGTCATATCTTTAATTTTGAAAATGGTTAGCTAAATTCAGGAATATTGGTAAAAACTGTTGCATTATTCCATAAAATTAATGCAGGCTCCTTGCTCTATTGAACGTGTGCTTGATGCCAATTTTTCTTTTCAAAAGGTTGATATATTTTGTTCACCTCTTTTGCAGTTGTCAGGTGTTGCTCCACCTCCTTTGTGTAGGAATGTGCAGCCAAATGGCCCAAATATGAGCACACTTTGTGGTGAAAATTCTCCTAAGTCAACAGTGAACTCTACTATACAAGCTCCTCGAAGAAAATTTGTGGATGAAGGAAAGTTACGGAAGGTAGTCTAAAGTGTTCTGTTGTCTACTCCTTTTGCATCACTAAATAAACTAACCACCTTCTCTGGCATTTCCTATTCAAACTCCTTTTGCTATAATTTGTACACTGGGTTGAATGCTTGAGTGTTATAGATTACATGTTATTATTGTTTAGTGTTTACTATTTTTTACCGTTCCTTCTACTTTATTTATTTATTTTTTATTGTTTCAGATTTCTGGTAGATTATTTTCTGACTCTGGTCCCCGACGTAGTTTAAGGCTCTCTAGTGATGCAAGTGTAAATGCAAATGCTAATGCAACAGTTTTATCTGGAAATGGAACTAATAACTCTTCCAAGTATCTTGGAGGGTCAAAGCTTAGCACTGTTGCATTTCGTACCATGGCAGTTCGTAAGGGACAGTCATGGGCCAATGAAAATGTTGATGAAGGTGATGAATCTATAGCACTATTTTGTTGTATTCTTGTCTTTTGGAATTGGAAATGTTATTCTTCACCATCAATCTAAGGCATAATTAACAAGTAAATAAGGAGCATGAGTAAAAAAAGGAAAAGAAAACAATGGAATTATTAGAAAAAAACAGAACACATTACATCTAAATTAGGGGAATCTGAAATGTAAAGTGTGTAGGAAGAACAAAACACAGAAAAAAAAATAGAAAAATAACAGAGTCCTGTGAGCTTCGGTGCATGAACAACTTCTAAGTCCTTGTTTCTTTATCTTCAGGGATTCATAGTGATGTTCTAGATGATTCTCGTTCAAATGTCACATTGACAACTTCTAGTTCCTCTGCTACTATTGAAGCTAAGTCTTATGAACAAGAAGCAGTGAATTTTCTAGTTGGTGGACTAGTAATGAGTGGTTCTAAAATCATCACTGGTGCTTCAGAAATACTGACCCTACTAAGAGTTCTTGGGGAGGGCTGCAGACTTGCCTGCTTGTATAGGTGCCAGGTATTAATTAATTATTATATCTTGAGAAAAGCCAGAATCATTTATATTTATCTCTTTATTGTTATTTTTTAATTAGGGATATGAAAAAGGAAAAATAAAATGAGGAAAATACCTTGTCCTTGATTGCATTTAGTTTTATGAAGTGTTTATTGGTGGAACAGGATGCACTGGACATCTGTTTGAAACTTCCACATAAGCATTACAATACTGGCTGGGTTCTTTCCCTGGTAATTTTGATCTCTCAGCTTGCATTCCCTTGTCTTTCATAGGATTTTTTGGTTTATATTGATTTATAAATATCTTACATTCAGGCTTACGATGTTATTACAATGTTTTGTTGGCTGTACCTAGAAAATAAAGGTTTTGCTTGAGGCGGTTACTTTCTTCAGGTGCATATCACTGACTATTTGTCACAATGCTTGGATGTTTTAAGCAGGTTGGAAAAGTGTATTTTGAATTAGTTGATTATTTAGAAGCTGACCGGGCCTTTAGTCTTGCTCGTCAGATTACGCCGTATAGTTTGGAAGGAATGGATGTATACTCAACAGTCCTTTATGTGAGTTTTATATTATGTTTTATTAGTTTCTGTAATATATATATATATATATATTCTTCTTTAAATTGTTAAACTTTTAAGGATTTTAGGTAGAGAAGAAAGAAAAGCGAGAACCAACTATAAATAATAAAATACAATATTGATATATGGTGTGTAATGATGTGTTGCAAAATACAATGCACTAACCCTTATTCATGAAATATGAAAACCACTCTAAGAGATCATCTAAGATGCTCTACAATATTCTAAACTACTAAATGATATTGTAATATATGTTTTAGATATTCTAACATGAATAAAGCTTTGATTTGTCTTTCTCTGTTGCCTTTGGGATTCAAATTTGTGGTTGATTCATCTAATAAAGCCTTTTGATAGAAAAACCATGCCATTATCAATAGCGGTGAGTTGGTGATATAAGGAAACTTAGGGATAAATCCGAAGATATAGTTATTTTCACTTCCCTGTCAAAGCATTTGGAAGGAAAATATTCTATTTAATGTCAGCCTACAGTAAAATTACTCCTGAAGTATGTTTGAAGCTAAGGCTTCTGTTGATGTTGCTGGCTATCTATGTAAACTGTTTCCTAGTTTTATGGCACTCATCTACAAATTACTAAAGCACCATGAACATTGATGCGTGGCAATAACCTTTTACAGCTTAACTGTATCATTTTATTAATTTATTTCTTTAGCTGCTTGCTTCCATTTCATGTTTAAACTTTTTAAATGTATACCTGCATTCTTACTGCTTGACCAAAAGAGTAATTTATCTCTGGTGCAGCATCTAAAGGAAGATATGAAGTTAAGTTACCTGGCTCAGGAACTCATATCAACTGATCGCTTAGCTCCTCAATCATGGTAGTTTCTATGGAACTTTTTTTGTGATTATTCAGTGGACTGAATTTTATGTTTTCTGGCCTTTTCCCCAAAGTCATTTCTACTCTCTATTATCCTTCTTCACTTTGACAGGACACCCAAAAGTGCAGCTCTTTGTGCATGCGCTTGAGTGCATGCACTGGGAGCCAAAACTGTGTAATGTATTTGCAAATAAATGCATTTGTTTTCAGGCTGATACAACATTCCAGTCATATATGATACATTAGTGTCTATACCCTACCTACTTCTATATTAGGTACAAGGTCTTCCATAGCTCATTTGTGTATTTCACTATTGTCTTATCTGAGCTATCTGCTGTTGAAGCCTTTTCTTCAAATATACTTCACTTACCATGATAGCATTTCCTGCTACTTGAGAGTTTGGGAGTTGAAAGTTTTTCTAGTTTTTATATGGGTGTTCTATTCTAATAATTATTATCATTTATCGTGGTTTATCATTGTTGTTGAATGATCTGGCAGGTGTGCCATGGGTAATTGCTACAGCCTGCAGAAAGATCATGAATCTGCACTGAAGAATTTTCAGCGAGCTGTTCAACTAAATCCCAGATTTGCATATGCACACACCCTTTGTGGACATGAGTATGAACATGGTCTTTTTGTTTATGATACATGTATATATGTGTGTGCGCCTCTTCTGCAACTTTTTATGGTCTTCTAATTCATTGGTACTTACAGGTATGTTGCCCTAGAGGATTTTGAGAATGGAATCAAATGCTATCAGAGTGCTCTCAGGGTTGATGCAAGGCACTATAATGCCTGGTATGGACTTGGAATGATATATCTTCGCCAAGAGAAGTCTGAGTTCTCTGAACATCATTTCCGGATGGCTTTCCAAATCAATCCACGCTCATCTGTTATAATGTCATACCTTGGTACTGCTTTGCATGCTTTAAAGGTTAATATCTTGCTGCTCTGATGGTAGTAGTTCAAATAAGAACTACATTTGTCTTTGGCTTTTGTTTTGTATCCAGAATTCTGAAATTATGCTATGCTTTTATGATTTGACAGAGAAGCGAGGAAGCGTTGGTGGTAATGGAGAAGGCTATTTCGGCTGATAAGAAAAATCCTCTTCCAATGTATCAGAAGGCCAATATACTCATGAGCTTGGAAAAATTTGACGAGGCTTTGGAAGTCCTCGAGGAGCTTAAAGAGTATGCTCCCCGCGAAAGTAGTGTCTATGCTTTGATGGGCAAGATCTATAAAAGGCGTAACATGCATGAGAGAGCGATGTTTCATTATGGGATTTCTTTGGATTTGAAACCATCTGCAACAGATGCTGCTGCTATTAAGGTGATTGGAACTTCCTGTACAATAACAAGAATCGTTTTGCTCTAAACTGGTCAACAATTTTTACAATTTATATTTACTTTATGCTTTCTGTACTTCATGCTTTCTGATTGATCGGTTGATTCATAACTGTTGGCTACTCTAGAAGGTGTTGGAACTTCCTGTTATTGTCACATATTCTTATGCAACTTGTTTTTCATTTGTGACAGGCTGCCATTGAGAAATTGCATGTACCTGATGAGTTAGAAGACAACTTGTAGCTCAACATATGAAGTGCAAAACTGCCAACTTGGTGTAATTTATCCGCATTTGAATCCTTGATCATAAGGATTTGGCTCTGCTTGTGCTTTCGGCAGATTGTGCATTAAAAGGGAAGTACAAATGCTTGAGGAGTGTTCTTCATGCAACCATCACTCCCATCTAATTGACGGTCTAAAGTGACCTGAGTTTTGTAGGAGATTCACTTACTAATGGGATGACATGATGTAACTAAAGTATCAAGAAGCTCCCACACATGTATCATTAGTTCATCCATTCATTTGTTCATAAATCACAGCTCTAGTCTGTCGCCCCTCGTTAACATTATCACAAGTATTAAATGGCTCATTTCTTTATTCATTTTTAACCTCACTTCCTATCTGAAGACGCTGAACTTTTCTCAGCAAATTCTCTCTCTCTCTCTACAGTTTATCTTTTATTTTGAAAATTACAAATAATAAAATAAAATAAAATTGCTAAGCTAGAGCCCGGAACTATACGAGCTATTGCTAATGAAAAAAAAAAAGAATCAGAAAAAATTGGGGTCTAAGGGATGACTTCATCCGAAGGCTTGAGCAGGCTTCGAGACTTAATGCGCATCTATAGAAATATTTACGGTGTTATACATCAACATAGAATTTTGAAAGAGATCGAATCCTGTCCAAATAAATTGATTATATTTTTAAATGTGGTTAAGAACTCGTTGTTTCAGCTTAAAAGTTTTTCTTCTTCGTTATTTATTAAGTAATAATCGCATGGGATTAAAGAATTATCATGTTAAAGAACACAAGTTGTGTGCTTTTAGTGATTTATATAAAATATGACCGATCATATTTTGTATAAATCTGAAACGTGTAAAATGAAAAAAAAAAGTAACTTTTCAGATTTACACAAAGTATGACTGGTCATATTTTATATAAATTACTAAAAAACACAACTTGTGTCTTTTTAAATGACATCCACTGAACCGATTAAGGACTGTAACAAGAGTGCTCAATATCTGTCCCAACTCAATAATCTGATTTAGCTAAAAGTCTATCGAACCGGGCTTGGGTCTTGAAAATTAAATTCGTAATTTTGGGCGAAGTTCAGATTATACATTGGGTTGGGTCGATATGGCCTGTTATCATGTAATATCTGAAAGCATAACATTTTTTAATAAATAGTAGTAGACTACAGTAGCGTTTGATGCACAATGAGATTTATCACAAATAGCATATGGTATGACACAATGTGCTGCATATTATTTGATACGCATAATTACTAAACAAATTTTACTGTAAAACTCTTTACATTATTATTTGTTTATTTTGCAACACAAAAATATACAGGATAAAGAAAATATACAGGTTGTGATGGGGTATTGGCAGTGTGAGGGGCTGCGATTTTTTGCGTGGTGGCGTGGTTTAGGACTTGTGTTAAACACAAGGAGGGGCTAGCATTAACGCCACCCCTCTCTAGATTTTAATTATTATTATTTTTATATTTTAGGTATAAAATTAATATATATTTTTTTAACAATAATATATTATTATTATTAGTAGTACTGATAGTTAGCTTTTCCTTTAAAAATATTTATAATAGTTAATATTTTATATTAGTCTTAACAATATTTATAATTTTAAAATTTTATATTCCTCCCTTATATTAAAAAAATCCGCACCACCGCTAGAAAATGGGATAACACGATGGATTGAGAGATGTTGGGGAGATGAATATTTTCAATTTTTCTCTCTTAACTTTATCATATCTCAAGATCATTTTTAGTACCAAATATTGGTCAACGAGTTTTGTCCTATCCAATGCTTTATTTTTAAGCAAATCAAAAATATCATTCATTGCTCATTACCTCTTGATCATATTTTTGTATTAATATAATTTTTTTGAATAAATAATATAAAACATCATATAATTTAAGTTTTTCATTTTAATATTACGATAATTATCACTTAATTCCTATAATTTTAATTTCATCGACTAAACCACCATTGAAATATATTGCATCCCTGAATGCCCAAAAATGCCCGAATTGAATTAGCGCGAAGTGATGACTGACCGTAATGTTAAAAATAAAATAAAAATACAACACTGTTTCTTCATCATTTTTGTTACTCTATAAACTCTACTTTTTTTTTTTCTTTTTTTTTTGAGTGAACACATTTTTTGGTCTTTGTCAATATCTACGAAATCTTTTTTAATCCCTGACAATAAAAAAAGATCAAATCGGTCCCTAAAATTATGAAAAAAGGACTACATTAGTCCTTATGTCAACTTCTCCGTCACTAACGTGACCCTTTTTGCATACTGTTAGAGACCAATTTGACCCTTTTTTATTACCAAGACTAAAAAAGATTTCGTAAATACTGCTCGCGACAAAAAGGTGTTTACTCTTTTTTTTTTTTTTTATGGAAATTAACTCTACTTTCTCCGGTTTATTCATTACATCAATTTTGAGCGCACTATTTTGCTCCTATTTTGCCAATTTCTTCATGGCTCGTATATTTGTGCCCTTATTTCATGATTTTTCATGTGTTATTCAGATTTAGGTTCATAACATAACAATGGGAAGTAAAGGTCGCATGCCGCCGCCGCCTCCGCATTTGCGGCGGCAGCTTCCGCATCCTTTCGATTTGTTGCCGCCGCCGCCGCTGCACGTGATGGAGCAGAAGCTCGCATCTCAGCACGTGGAGATGCAGGGTCTGGCTACGGAGAACCAGAGGCTGGCGGCGACGCACGGTGCCCTGCGGCAAGAGCTGGCTGTGGCACAACACGAGCTGCATATGGTGCATGGCAACATTGGGAGCGTGAAGGAAGAGAGGGAGCATCAGATGCGTGGCTTGATTGATAAGATTGCGAAGATGGAAGCTGAGGTGGTGGCCGCGGAACCGGTTAGGGTTGAGTTGCAGGAGGCGCGTGGGGAGGCACAGAAGTTGGTTGTGTCGAGGGAGGAACTGATTTCGAAGGGTCAGGAATTGAGTCATGAGCTTCAAAGGGTTCATGTGGATGTGCAACACATTCCTGCTCTCATCTCTGAACTTGATTGTCTCAGACAGGAGTATCAGCATTGCAGGTAATCTTTTTTTTCCCTTTTATTTAGCTTTGGAATGAGGAAGGAACGGTTTCTGTTGTTGCTGTTGTATTTAATCTTTACTCTCTTGTGATATTTGTTCTTCTATCATAAAGTGAAAAAAGAGAGAGGGAAATATCTTAATAGTGTTTGTTTGGTTTTGCAGCTCTTTGGTGTTTTTGGTTGGAGTGAAGTGCTTTTTGTTTTTCATGGTTCTTTGTTATCCTGACGACTGTTATTATGGGATAAATAGTTTTTTTTTTGGATTTTCTTTGCTTTCTGTCCTTGGCTTCCTTAAATGATGAGCTTGAGAGCTTGTTTGCACCAATGAGCTTGTTTATTGTTTTCGTTGTTTTCCTTTTGTGGGTTTAGACTGCGTAATTGTAGTTGAGATTGAGACTAGAGAGTCTCAGTGATGCAGGGGCGTGACTGTGATAGCAGCTTGATGTGAGATACCAAACTCCCCTTTATTGTAGAGGCTCATCCTGGTTGTAGGAGTCATAGTTGTCAATAGCAGTTAGCGGCCAGTAGCGGCCGACCCCAAAAATGGTATAGCGGTGTAGCGGGTAGCGGTATTACCGCTACGGTGAAGTATTAATTCCACATATATTATACTAACAGTCAAGAAACAAGCCAATACCGCTTTTAGTATTAATGCTCAAACATAAGAAGTCACACAAAATCAAACACATAATTCCACAATCAATGTCAAATACAAGGAACATAAAGGAAGGATCCAAAATTAAACACAACTGAACAATAAAATTGTCAAATAGCCAAGTACAAGAAGTGAACTAAAAAAGAAAATCATCATCATCTTCGGATTCTCCATCAAATTCCAACATGGGAGTGGTGTAGCGGGGTAGCGGGTGTAGCGGGTAGAGGTATTGCTGCTACGCTACGCCGCTACCTTCCGCTACGGCCAATGTCGCGTAGCGTCGCGGTTTGTAGCGGCCGACTGCCGCTACCCGCTACGGTAGCGGTTTAGCAGCGCTACGGGCCGCTACTGACAACCTAGGTAGGAGTAGAGTCTCCTTTACGTCTAGTGTTATCAGAGTCTGGTTCGTTTATTATTCGTGTGAATGTTCTTTTCAACCTGACTAGTTTGATGCATGCCTGTGAATCCCATATCAGCTGGCATTATATTCAAAAGTCTAATTTAAAGTAGAGGTTCTCCCCTTTTATTAACCTAGCTTTTAGGATTGAGTTCTCCTTTGTCACTCAATTCTTATACGATTAGGATTTATTCTTAATTTGAGTAGGATATAAAAGGTCTATTAGAATGATTGCAGTACCCCTACTTTTTTCCTAGATGTTCAGATTATTCAATGGCAATCCATATTGGTTGTGTTGTGCAATCAAGACCTAGGTCGATGACTTGTTTCCTTTTTTTTCTTTTTCTTTCTCTTTTTTCAGCTCCATTATGTTTTTGTTACATTTGTCTGTATGATAGTACAGACAATAGCCTTATCCTTGCAAATTTGTGAAGAGACTATTACCCGGAATCGAATTCATGACCTTTCAGTCATAAAGGAATAGTTTTACCACTGCTCGAGACTCGAGCTCTTAGTAATTTTTTTTTTTTGTCCGTATTATGGTAGAACCCGGTGCACTGAGCTATCATTTTTAATTCTGTTTTATCTAACTTAACCTGGCACCCAAAATTCTTCCCAAGCCCCCCTGATTATACTATCCACCTTTTCTCTTCAATATATTTTCTTTCCTTGAACATATATCATTTTCTCAGAACGTGGTTTAAAAAGGAGCTACTCTTATGAGATGAACCCAAATGTTTTTCTCAGAACTGATACCTTTGAAAGTCATTAAAATTTCATTGTAAGTTTATAACATCTATTTTTTTAGCTTGAATTTACCCTAGAATCTTTTTTAACTTAAAATTCTAATTTCACGGGTACAGAATCTATGTGCATAACTTTCTGAGTTGGAATCTCTCTAGTTTGAACTGAGGTACCAATGGTCATTTCGTTATGAACTGTAACAAGTTTTTGAAATATTCCCTCTGGCAATTTGAATCCCAAGGCCATTTCATTGTTTTCTTGATTCAAACTCTTTGGAGTCTCTTCAATGGCAGCATCCATGGTTATACATAACAATTTGCTATCCAGGGCATGAGACTTAGCTAAAGAGATATACTAAGGAACCTACCTATACTTTCCTTTTTAGGCAGGCTTGGTTCAGTTAGGATGGTCAGAAAGTGGTAGGCATAGAAGTCGAAAACAGGTCTGGCAGCTATTCTTTGGTTTATGGGTGAATATTCCGTTCCCCATGCCCATTCTATCTGGCATCCACACGCCACCAATGTGATCCTGTAAACCCATCCATGACTTCCAATTGATACTTACCTCAGATTCAACCATTGGTTTCTATTCTCTATTTCTGTCCTTACAGCATGCTAGCATAGCATTAGACTACCATGTCAAGTGCCCCTGACACTGTAGTTCTGGTCATGCAGGGCCACTTATGACTATGAAAAGAAATTATACAATGATCACCTTGAGTCACTTCAGGTGATGGAAAAGAACTATGTTTCTATGAGTAGGGAAGTGGAAAAACTTCAAGCAGAACTTACAAACACTGCTAATGTTGATCGGAGTAGTATGTATCTCCTTTTGTACCTGTTTTCTACATTAGAGCCCTTGGTCTTCAATTTTTCATGATTTGTGGATTGATTATGGTATGCAATAAAATTCAGGTGGGCCATATGGTGGCACCTCTGGAACTAATGAGAATGAGGCTTCTGGTCTTCCTGTGGGACAAAATGCGTATGAAGATAGTTATGCTGTTGTGCAGGTGTGTGACACCCCAATGTTTTGCATTGTTTTAAGTTTCTTGTGGGAGTGAGTACAGCATTCTAGTCCAATTCCAATACATTCATTTCTGAAATTCTTTTGATAAAAATTAATCTCTGATTTTTTTTCTGCATGCTTTGACTTATTTATTTTAAAAATTCTTTAGTCTTTAATATAACAGATATTTATAATGATTACAAATTGTAATTGGCAACTATCTGCCTCTGGTGTCAAGAAGTAATGATATGTCGCTGGGATTATAATACTTCCAACCTGATTATTTATTTATTTTTTACTAAATGCCTAGCTTTAGCTTGTTTTTGTCTTGTATAGAGAATATCTGAATTCAACAGACTTTGATCTGATTTCTGTAAGATATTGTTACCCATTAATCCTTAAAAATTGCCATTCTGATAGTACCAATTTGACATAAAACAGTAGTATTGGTTACCTTGATAAAGAATTTCAAATGAATTATCATGCCTGGTTGTTAAGCCTGGTAAGTGGTAATGGTTTGCATGATAACAATTTGGAGAACTATTACATGTATGTGCAGAGAAAATTGGACTGATTCAGAGGTAATATGTCCATTACAGATGTTTTGTGTTCTACTGTTATATTCTTATATGTGCTCCTCTATAAACATAGTGAAATATGTAGTTAACCATTAAAAGTGAAATATTTATGTGGCTGATATCTGAATGGTTGCCAATTAGAAGGTGTACATGCTCTTGGGTTGATTCTGATTATAAGTTCAAATAAGTTATCAAAGTTTAATCTACCCACTTTACTTTATCTTTCATGTGGATTATAAATAATAGTGCTCCGTCCAACATTTTGTTTAACAGGGACGTGGCCCCCTCCCTGCTGCCAGTGGTGGTGGCAGCACTACTACAGCTACTACTGTTGGAGCTCAACCTGGTCCAGCTTTTGCAGGGACTGGTTATGATGATCCTAGAGGGCCTGGTTACAATACATCTGCAGGGCCTACTTATGATGTAGAGAGGGGTGTTACTTATGATACACAGAGGTTGACTGGTTACGATGCATTTAGAGGATCTGCTTACGATTCAAAGAGAGGATCAAATTTTGATGCTCAGAGAACTGGCTATGATCCACAGAGAGGTCCGGGTTATGATGCGCAGAGAGGACCTTCTTATGATGCATCAAGAGCAGCTGGTTATGATCCACAGTCAAGAGGTTTTGTTGGTCCACATGGACATACTCTGCCGGTGAACAATATGCCTTATGGGTCCATAACACCACCTGCTAGTAGCGGTGGATACGAGGCTGCTCGAGGTGTAAACCATGCTAGGAGATGATGACCTTGACTCCTTGAGTCTTGAGAATCAATTGAGATGCCATACCCATAATATATTGATGCCACTCAAATCAATTAGTGTGTATCATTCAAATCTAAATGAACGCCTGGCTTTGTCCTCATCTTTCTTATGTAATTTACATGGTGGACTAGAGCAAAAAATTGTTAGTCGTCATTAAGATATACACTCTCACCCCATTTAACTGCTTTAGATGAAATTGGCAATAGAATATCAATCCTGATCTAATTATTAATTAGAGTACTTTCGTTTGAGATATCTTAGTTTTTTTTTTTTTGGAAATACAATGAAAACTAAAGCAACATCAAAAAAAGTCCTATACTGGGCACAATCTTGGGAGACTTACTCCTCTCGAGTCATTACGAAGCAATTCCAAACAAGCCGTTGGAGGGACATCCAGCACAATCAGCTGTCCATCCTGATGAGGTGCATGAGTAGCAAGCCAATCAGCAACAAAATTGCCTTCTCTATAAGTATGACTAAGCTGAATAATCCAGTCTCTTTGAAGCATGCTACGAGCTCGGATGATTAAAGCAGAAAGAGGATGACTTACGTCACACCCTTTTCTTATAAATTCCAAAGCCACGTTGGAGTCACCCTCCACAAAGACTCTCCTAAATCCCTTATGCCAAGCCAGATCCATACCTGTCAAGAACCCCCAAATTTCCGCTGAAGTAGAAGTACCACTCCCAAGGAATTTTGTAAAACCAGTTAACCAGTTCCCAGCAGCATCCCTTATGACTCCACTACATGCAGTCCTTTGCCCACTGTCTATACTAGAACCATCCACATTAAGTTTAACATAACCCTCAGAGGGAAAATTCCAGTGAATAAGACGTTCCTCTCTTCTAAGCTCCTGATGACCAATCTTAATAAGGGTTTCATTAGCCAATTGAATATTACCACAAGTATAGGTAATGCGCCTAATGAGACCATACTTCGAGGTGATAGTTTGATCAAAGATCGCCTTATTTCTTTCCCCCCACAAACACCAAGCTATCACCCCAAAATACAAAGGCCAAGTTCGATCAGTTTGAAACAGACCTTTTAATCCTAGATTTGTCTGAATCCATAGGTGAAGATCCATGGAGAAAAAGTCACTACGATTATCAGAAGGAACCCAATGCTCCCATAATTCCCTGGCACCAGGACAATCTCTAATGGCATGTAAACTATCCTCAAGATTATAATAACATCTCAGACACCCTGCATCTGTAGCCATGTGACGATGCACTCTATGAACATTAGTTAAAAGAGAACCTCTATAGAGAAGCCATAAGAATTGTCTAATACGTTCAGGACCAGGCCAAGCCCAAATTACCTTCCAAATCCTATCCTGATGATAATGCGAGGTACCCATGAGATAGTTATAAGCTGATTTCACTGAAAAAACCCCATCTTGGCTACCTGCCCAAATAACACGGTCCGGAGAAGGATCCACTGTAGGAGGGAGCACACTACGAATCTTGTCTAATACTGAAGTAGGAAGAAGGTGCTGAAATAAAGGCCAGTCCCAATTACCATAACAAGTTACAAATTGAGACGTAGACCAATAAGTCATAATAGGAGGAATAGGTTGAATGGCCAGAGAAACAAGTTGAGGACATCCTGGCACCCACGAATCCATCCAAAAAGACGTATGAACCCCATCCCCTAAAATGATACGAGAATTCTCTAGAGTTTGAGGCCAATACTTAACAATAGTCTTCCATAAACCAGAATCATTTGCGGAAGCCGAGATACTTGGAATGAGCCTTTCCTCCACCTTATACTTGCTACGAAGGACCCGAACCCGTAACGAATTACGATCAGTCATGATTCGGTGACCTAGCTTCATGATAAAAGCCATATTATTCTCTTTAATTTTACGAAAACGAAGCCCCCCTACATTCTTCGGCAAACAGACCGTCTCCCAAGAAACCAGGTGAGCTTTCCTTCGTTCAGAAGTTGATCCCCAAATGAAATTCCTAGTTACACTCTCAATACGATCACACGTACCACTAGGAATAATACAAGTTTGCATAGGATATTGAGGAATTGCAGTAAGAACTGACCTAGCCAAAGTTGATCTTCCTGCCAATGAAAGAGTACGTTGATTCCAGGCATTTAAACGAGCTTGCATCCGATTTAAGATATAGCCAAACGTACTCTTTGTAACACGGCTATGACGAAGAGGAATACCCAAGTATTTACCCAAGTCATTTGTAGGAGAGTAGCCCATCAACTGGCTTAGATTCTGCACTCGGGTATGATTAACGTTTCTGGAGAAGAAGACTTTTGTTTTTTCCTTGCTAACCTTCTCACCAGAGCACCTGCAAAAACAATCAAGAATCTTATTAATAATAACAGCTTGCCCTTCTGTGGCTTCTGTAAAGAGCAGAAGATCATCTGCAAAAAATAGATGGGAAAGCAGTGGTCCCCTTCTATTCAATCTGATAGGCTTCCAAACGTCCTCTTGAACTGCTACATTAATCAAATGAGCAAGTCTTTCCATGCAAAGGATGAAAAGATAAGGAGACAAAGGATCTCCTTGACGAAGACCTTGATTAGGAGAAAATTCTGTCGTAGTTGATCCATTCCATAACAAATTCATTGTACATGACGAGACACAACACATGATCAGAGAAATAATATTCTCAGGCAAATCAACATCCACAAGCGTGTCTTTCAGAAACTCCCAAGAAATCTTGTCATAAGCCTTTTCTAAATCAACTTTGACAGTCATCCAACCCTTATCTCCTCTCTTTTTATTCATGGAATGGATGATTTCCTGAGCCACAATGATATTATCCGCTCCTTGTCCACCCTGAATAAAACCACATTGATTAGGCATAACCAAGTGAGCCATATGAAATTTCAGCCTATTAGCCACAATCTTATAAATAACATTACAAAGGCTAATAGGTCTGAAATCTTTAAGTAATTCAGGCACATCAATCTTAGGAATCAGACAAATCAAAGTTTGGTTAACCTCTTTGATATTATCCGGATGAAGGAACACACCTTTCACAAAAGAGATAACTGACTCACCCACCTTATCCCACTGAGATTGAAAGAAAAAAGCATTAAGCCCATCCTTCCCAGGCGACTTGTATGGACCAAAAGAGAAGACTACATCTCTGATCTCCTTACTGTTTGGCATAATACTCATCGTGTCTAAAGCATGCGCTTCAATAACTGGAAAAAAGCCACGAACTGGAAAAGCCGGTTTAGGTAATGGATCTTTTGTGTACAGATTTTCAAAGAAAGAAACAGCCATTTCCATTAAAACCTGTTGATCACCAATCCAAACTCCCTCAGAGTTTTTCAACGTATCTATGCGATTCCTCCTACGTCTGGCAACCGTCACAGAATGAAAGAAACGCGAGTTCCTATCTCCAAGAGCAAACCAATTCAATTTCGATCTTTGAAACCAAGTAATTTCCTCTTGAAGATAAATCTTGTCTAGTTCCCTCCATAGATCCTTTTGCAACATCTCAAGGCTATGACTGTACTGATAACTAAGACATCTATCAATACCTCTAATCCTTGCATGCAAATCATTCTTTCTTTTCAAAGCAATCCTATAAACATTTCTATGCCATTCCGAAGCATTAATCCGAAATGTCTCCATAGCATGCATCCAGTTTACATTGTTTGACCAACATCCATTAACCACCTCATGAAAAGTGCTCTCTGTTAACCAGGACGCTAGAAAACGGAAAGGACGCTCCCCTCTCGGATAAATAGCAGGTTGACCTTCCCATAATAACAATGGTCGATGATCTGAGCCAAAGAAAGGCAAGTTGAAAGCCACACGGTTAGGGAAAACCAAGTTCCAATTATCATTAGCGCAAACCCTATCAAGACGTTCCTGAAGATTTCTTCTTTGCCAAGTGAAAATAGGACCTTGATTGCCAATGTCAGACAAGCTACATTCATCTAAACAATCACGAAATTCCCTCATGCTATTCCAGTTATGCCCATTACCACCTAGCTTCTCATACTCATACAAATAAGTGTTAAAATCACCTGCTATCCCCCAAGCTGCATTCCTCATGGACTGATCAAACAGTGAAGACAGAATTTCCCACAGCTGAATATGTTCATGTCTTCGCGGACTTGCGTAAATAAAAGTCATGAACTCCTATCTATTTTCTTTTACCCAACAAATTTTAGTATGGACAAGTTGGTGATGAGAAAAAAGAACATCCACTGAAACTTCATCAGTGTTCCAAAGCACCCAAATACTGCCAGAAAAACCAACAGCATCACGATGAAAGTGACCAAAAAAACCAAGACGCCGAATAGCTCTATCCGCCATAACACCACTCAATCTGGTTTCTAACAAAGCCATAACTTTAATATTGTATCTATGAGAAAGATCCCGAATTAGAGGCGGAAAACTCCTTTTCCCAGCCCCTCTACAATTCCAGGTCAATATATTCATAAAAACAATCTTAAATTTATCCGAACAGAAACCGGCCCTAAGAAAGAGCATTGGTATAGACCGAAGTCGCACCCAAAACGTCCAAATTATCCAAAGGGATAGAATCCTTGTGAGTTTGATAAAAATTCCTCATTAACGTAAGAGCATCTGGTGGTCTTCCATGTTTACCTCCATTATCCAAGCCACTAGAAGAAGGAAGAGTCACTTGCTGATCATTAACCACATGAGACGTCTTCCTCTGGAATTTAGATAAAGAAGGGTGCAAGACAATTTGTCTATCTTGGAAATCCTCCGACATATTCTTCTGAGAATCAAGTTTAAAATTATTCTTTTGAGATTGTGCACCTTTTGAATCATTTAATCTGCCTTTGCTAATATTAGCATTCTGGACCAGCTGATGAACTTTAGCAGATGATGCAGTTGCTTTCTTCTTTTGGTTCTCTTTGAATTTTACTCCTTGACTTTGGACCTCTTTTCTCGACTTGCCCGCAGATAGGTTAGCAGATGGAGAAACTATTTCCATTTGAATATCCTTTTTCACCAACGGTTCTTCATTATGAGCAATTAATTCCCCATGATTAATTCGTGTCAGACCAGATTCAATGCTGATTGAATCAATCACTGGAGAATCAGAAATAATTAAGATATTATTATCCTTTTGAGCCAACTCAGCAATAGCTTGAAATCTTGAACCTGATTGAATGACCTGTCTGTGATTAGGATGAGAATTGGAAACTGCCTTATTACGTAACGCTGCATTATTAACAACGCCAACTTGTCTCCTA